GTTATGCTGATAATATTCAAAGGCATAACCATCCAAGTTGAATGGTTATGCTGATAATATTCAAAGGCATAACCATCCAAGTTCAATGGTTATGCTCATAATATTCAAAGGTATAACCATCCAAGTTCAATGGTTATGCTGATAATATTCAAAGGCATAACCATCCAAGTTCAATGGTTATGCTGATAATATTCAAAGGTATAACCATCCAAGTTCAATGGTTATGCTGATAATATTCAAAGGCATAACCACTTGCCAAGTTGAATGGTTATGCTGATAATATTCAAAGGTATAACCATCCAAGTTGAATGGTTATGCTGATAATATTCAAAGGTATAACCATCCAAGTTGAATGGTTATGCTGATAATATTCAAATGTGCATTACCATCCAAGTTGAATGGTTATGCTGATAATATTCAAGAGGTATAACCATCCAAGTTGAATGGTTATGCTGATAATATTCAAAGGCATAACCATCCAAGTTGAATGGTTATGCTGATAATATTCAAAGGCATAACCATCCAAGTTGAATGGTTATGCTGATGAATATTCAAATTATTGATGTATAATTCTATTTTTGTAAACACACGGGCAACTGCAAAGACGTAACATTCATTTTTAAATATATTTAAAAAGAATACCATTTTCAGTCCAGGACAAATCTCATTACATTATTACACTGCAAACATTATTGTTACCCTCGTGCAAAGTATATTACCCTTCTATACAATATATTAACTACAGTTATTAATAACACCACTATATATACACCATATTCGCTTGACCCCAAAAATATATGATATCAGATTATTGAAAAATTCATTTGTAATAAAATATACGTTTTCATCAAGAAGTATTAGAAAAAATATCAGGCATAATTTGCTCCCAGAACTAATACCAATACACACACAAACTTGTCAACAACTCGCAACAGGTTTGTAGCAAGCTTCGCAACAGGCTTGTAGCAAGCTTATTTTATCAAGTTGCTACAAGGTTGTCACGCACAACTTGTTGACAAATTGTTGAATTGCAGGACGATAACAAGTTGTTGGAACAACTTGTAACAAGTCTGTTGAGTTCAACAACCTTGTAGCAAGTTGTCAGCAAGCCGTTGACAATTTGTCAACAAGCTGGGAACAAGCAGTGCGAACACATCCTGTTCACAAGTTGTTGAAACAGCATTGCTACAAGTCTGCTGCGGGTTTGGTACAAGTTCTGCATTTTTACTGATCTACGAAATAAATTTGAAATTACAAGACCGCTTCAAAATATATAATATGTTCTCCTAATTTCAAGTCTAGCGAATATGGCAACACTGAATGCGCTTTCAAACGGACCCAACATAGCCTCACGAAACGTGTTTCTGTTGGGGGTCTACAACGTAGGCTAACCCAACGATTGATCAGGGAGAGTATTGGGTCCATTTGAACAAATTTTGATACTCTACTTTCTTGTAATACCCAAATTATGTACATATAAAACCAGTAATACTTATATTGCCATTGCGAATAAAAACATCATTAATAAAAATAAAGAAATTTGATTCAGTGGTGGACGCGTCCGTGCTCACGGTACAAACGTGCTGGGAAATGTGAACATCGTGTTCGACAACGTGCTAACAAATGCGAAAACGTGCTCACAGGCTTGGTAAAACGTTCTCATAATCTTAAACTACGTGCTGATATATTTAAACAAAGTTCTGACAGAACGTGCTGAAATAACGTTCTGTCATATATCAATAACGTGCTCAGATATTTAATTAACGTGCCCATCGATGTTAACAACGTGTCGGAAACACATAAACTCGTGCTGTAAAGTGTTGACAAGCTTGTATAACGTGTTTTAAAATATAAATAACGTGCTCAAATATTTGATTAACGTGCTCATAGATGTGAACAACGTGCTGAATAACATGAAAACGTGCCGTAAAGTTTTGAACTACGTGTTGACAGGCTTGACTTGCGTGTTGTAAAATATAAATAACGTGCTCGCACATTTGGAAAACGTGTTAAAACGCACCAAACACGTTCTGACAAGATTGAACGTGCTGTAAAACGTCAACATCGTGCTGTCAGACGAATATTACGTGCGTGAATCCACTGTTGACATGTACGCCTAAATCTGATACTTGATGACATATACACTATACTTTGGTAGTACGTAAAAGTATGAAATAAATAAACCTCGCTGTGTCGCATATCGACAATGATAAAATGATTGTCTATCGCATAAACATTCCCCCTTTGTCTAGTTTTAGTTTTTTCGCGAGTCTTTGTTTTGTCGTGAGCTGAACAGGACGTCGGCCACGCTTTGATGAGTTTCCTAAAATGCAAAAACAATTGACGGGTTTCAGAATTAAGGCTTTGTGATCAACGTCTACACATGACGTCACAGCCGCCATGTTGGTGTTCCAATTGGCCTTTCTCACGATGACGAATATCCGCCATTTTTGTGTGGCATCTAATTCTCGTTAACCAAATGCAGACAATTAAAACAATGTGAAAAGCAGTTTTTCAAAATAAACTAACCATTTAGGGACTGGTCATAATTTATCGAGGGGGTGGGAGGTGTAATTCAAAATTTTAAGGAATGATATTTTGGGACCCTGCTTTGCCATAACACGGAAAAATAATGCCCCCCCCTCTCTTGCTCGTGTCAGTATACCCCTCTCTCTCTTGCTCGTGTCAGTAAAAATGTACCTACCTACTACTAAACCCTGCATTCTATAAATATTCTAATTGCACTTTAAATTTTCTAATTTTCTAGTTGCGTTTTAAATCAAATACTAAAATTTATATTATACCAATACATAGTCATATATAAAACTTTAGTTTTTTCAAACTTTTCATTCTAAGTTCAAAGAATCAATTTTTTTCAATGCAACTCAAACAAAATGTGAGAAGGCATGTATAAAACAATTAATTGAACTAAAACAGCAGACCCCCTCCCCGCCTTCATAAACTGTCTAATATTTTATGAACTCCCCTTTTTCCTGGCTAAAAAATATGTGACCCCCCCCACTGTTTCCACCTCCCACCTAAATTATGACCAGTCCCTTACAAAGCAAATTTACTACCATCATTCGTCCAAAAAATTATGAAAAGTCGCTGTTATGTGGACTTATCTCGCAGACTTCGGCTGAAAAGCCACGCAAAAATGGCGGCATGAGAAAGGCTAATTCAAAAGAATTTTACTTAGACTTTTAATTGTCCGGAACACCAACATGGCCGCCAAGGCTTTTGTTGAGTTGGTCCCTGGGGAATTTACCATGGAATAAGGTGGTCGTCACATTATAACAGGTTTTAATCTCTCTACGAGAGGTTTTAATTTTGTCACTGTTTTGCTATAATGTCTCATAATGCTGCAAATTGATTTTTCGTTGGTTTTCACTTTTCTTCACTATGACTGTCTGGACCTCTAGAGTGCAAACGCTCTATAGGAACAAGGATTTTCAGTGGTGTAACTTAAATTAACTATTTTTATCGCTTGAAATCAGGGCAAGTTATGGCCCATTTCCACTCATGGAAAATTTACAGTAAAACACAACAGAATACAGAATCGAAAGTGGGAGATTTTTGCATTGAGTTTGAGATGATTTATATTTCAATGCGTTTCAAACCAAAAAGTGTAAAGAAATCACGCGCAAACTATGTAAAGAAATCACGCGCAAAATATGTAAAGAAATCACGCGCACACAATTCAAAAGATATCAAGCGAAATATTTCTCTGCAAGCGGAAATCCGCCATTACTGTTACCTTTGTCTGCCTCGGCTTGGTTGCTCGCACCAGACGGTCTTAAGGGGGCTCTGCTATTTTTGCTCGAGGCACCTTCGGAGTCAGACGACGTCCTCGGAGATTTGAGATCGTTCTACATCAAACAGATAAAAACATGGAATTTAAAATATCGCAGAAACCGCAATAATTGTTCTGAAAACACCAAGACAACTTACGTTGTTATTCGTCGGTGAATTTAACTCAGACTTTCGCGATATCTGCCTGACAGGACGGGGATTCGTTTTCACTGGCGAATGAGCCACTCGACCTAGGGAAAAATAGATTGTTGTGCGGTTAGTCCGTGTGTCTTTTACATCCGCGGCTGTAGCTAAGAGGCAAAAGCAGGGGGGGGGGGTAGTATCGCTTTGCTGACAACATTGCAGGGGGGAGGTAAAAAAATTCCACGGGGCT